GCCACTGGCCAGCTGGGTCACTTGGCAAGTCACTTCACCACTCCACACCTTGGTTTACCCAACTGTATATGGGGATAATGATACTGATCTCCTGTGAAAAGCACTTGGAGATCTATTGATGAAACGTGCTAGATAAGTGCTAAAGCCAGGCCTATACTAGACCTGGAAGCTTGGCTTAAGGTACGCAACTCCAATTACATAAGCAGGAGTAAAGATGCCAACAGGGCACCCTCAGAGTTTGATTTAGCAAGTCTTAACTAGACTCGCTACATTGAACTCTGTAAGATCAATCGTGGCAGCAGCAGCCATCTTCCATTTAGTGCAGACAAAGCCAAAGTATCATGGTGATGGATTTAAGATACTATTCAGTGTGTGTAAGGGACTCACAAACCTCACTGAGACTGCAGCATGGCTACGGAAGAGCATCAATGTACACCATATGGTATCAGCTCTACTGAAAGAGGAAAGATAGGAGGGTTTTTTGGTTGTTGTTCATCCCTGTAAATGGACAAGCCTAGAGGCATTACAATTTCATATTTAAAACAATAGAATTCCTTGTTATTTCTGTAGACAAATTAAGTCTTGTCCCTACTCTCCTCACCCCTCGATTCCACCAAACACGAATGCCTGGAGTATCCAATGACAGTATTACCTGATTATCTAACTACTGCAGTAACACAAAACCCTCAAAGAATCTGCTACAAGCCTGCCCCTGTGTGCAATAGGGATGTTAAGTATCGGTTAACTGAATAGTCGAATAATCTCAAGCATTCTTATCTGTTAGTCAGCTAGTCTATAGTCCCTGGGGCTGGGGCTCGCAGCCAGCGTGCTCCAGCCTCACTCCGGAGGAGCCCCCTGCCTATATCAGAGGCGGCAGCAGCACAGGGTGCCAGGTGGAACCTGGTCTTCAAAGGGAGCCAGTTTAAAAAGCAGTTCCCCTCGCGGACCAGCTGCCTGTCACCCTGCGCTGCTACCTCTGATACAGAGGCAGTGGGGTGGCAGCAGTCCCTGTCAAATAGGGGTGTGACCGGGCACCCCCCAGTCTGGTCCGGGGGCCGGACAGCTTTTCTTCAAATGGGTGGTCTTGCCCTTCACGTTGGGGTTTTTGCTGTATTTCCTTTCTCCTCGGGCGGGGGAAGGAAGGGGGGCCCGGGCCCTCCCTCACTCTCGGGCCCCAGCCCAGGGCCCTAAGGACTGAGACTGCGCACCAGTCTCGGTCAGGCTGACGGGGTCGTGCCCCTAAACGTGTCACGCCTCCCCGTCTCACCGGCGGGGCCGGGGCGGGCTCAGCTGTTCCGTGACTCAGCTGAGCCGCGGCTCGGGAGCAGCCGGCACACGGCCGGTACCCGTCCCGCAGCCCCTCTGAGAGGGCGCAGGTTCCCTGGTGCGGGGTCTCTGTACCCCGTCACAAGGGGTCTGAGCTTCCGGACCGAGTACGAGCCAGAACTGAGCTGGGCTGCCTGCCCACCTGGCTCCTAATACACTTTAAATGCAGAGCCACAGAGGGGGTAGATCCCAGACCTGTTTCAAGCCAGGACCGAGCCGAACTGCTGGCCAGCCTGCTAAAATATTTACTGGTAAATATGCGTGTGTGTGTGGGGGGGGGAATGCATGTAGTCTATAGTATTAACCTACAAGTAGGGCTGCCAGATGGTTTCAACAAAAGTACCAGACACTTGACGTTACATCACAATCTACATTACATCTTATTTAGAAAATACCAGACATTTCTACTTTCTCATTTATATTTTCTCAATTTGTTTCCTGAACACAAAGCTCAAATACTGGACTGTCCAGTTCAAAACCAGACATCTGGCAACCCTACCTATAAGCTTTTGCTACACTAGTACATCCCTAATAGCATGGAGCATGAAAGTTTTGCTTAAACAAAAAAAAAAAAAAAAAAAGAAAGGAGGAGGAAAATAAATTAGCTTGGGGGTGCTAGGAGTTGAGCTGGGAGGCTGCTGCACAGGTGAAATTGCTCCATGCATCACATCCCATCCCTTATGCCCTTTCCCTGGACAATCCAGGCCTTAAAAAGTGCAGAAATTCCATAGGGCTGTTGCCTCCCTCAGCCGCATTAGGGGCTCCATTGCAGGGTTACCACACGCCCCTGAATCGGAGGCATCATGAAACTATGGTCACAGGAACAAACCAGGCACCGAACTGAGCATTCCTGGTTCCCCAGAGTGGGGAGCAAAAATCTACACTCCTTCTATGCTTGTCACAGATTACTTCTCTCCTCCATCTCTGTCCATCTGCAATGGCTGGTGTCGGGCAGAATGTCCAGTAAGAAAGGAGGAGGCTGCTCTCCTGTTATTCCTTTACATGGGCTGCTCTAGAAAGGGGCTATCTTGCAACCCCTTTTCCCCCGGGTGACTCATAGCTTTGCCTTAGCAGTAGGCCAAGCAGGAGGACAACTGTAAGCTGTTTGGTATCAGGGTCTAGCTGAGCTGGCTGGAGGCAGCAGGATGGGGGACCAAACTGCACCATGGAAGGGGCTGCATACTGACTGCTCTGCCCTCACCAGTGGAAAAGGGGAGGTGCCTTTGGAGCATTATTCCTTCCCAGCATGCCCCCGTGAGCTGTGTAGCCCCACGCAGGCAAGGAGAGCGCTCGGTCTAGCCCATTTGTGTCTGCCAATGAAGCAGCAGCCCGTGGCTGGACCACTAGCCATCTGGTCATATTTTTAACCATTTGCTTCTTGCCAGTAAAGACCAGGATGTGGACACCCAAGCAAACCCTCCCGTCTATGGAAAGGCCATTGTGCAGTGAAGCAGCAACATCTCAAAATAAGCCAACAGGCCAGCTGGAGTGCCAGCGACACAGCAACAGGAACAGTCGTTTCTAGAGGCTCAAAATCATCTGCACGGACAGCACCTCTCAGCCTCTCTGCTCAGGGGCAAAGAGCTGGAATGCAGCCAGGAAGCGTTCAGGGCTTTACAAAACCAGCTGTGTTACGCAACCCTAGGCTCCACCGCCCCCCGACAGTGACGCTGCTCTGCACAGTAGAAGGCAAAGGTGGGGGTTTAAATGCAGGTGACCAAAGGGTTTGGCAACCAAATCACCCAGCTGTGGAGGTGCTTAAATAAGAAGTGGCTCTCTACTGGGTTGCTGATGACCATTATGGTAGTGGAATGTCAAACTGTCAATCAAGATTTCAGTTCTCTAACTATAGGTTGAACCTCTCGGCTACGTCTACACTGGCCCCTTTTCCGGAAGGGGCATGTAAATTTCACCAGTCGTCGTAGGGAAATCTGCGGGGGATTTAAATATCCCCCGCGGCATTTAAATAAAAATGTCCGCCGCTTTTTTCCGGCTTTTAAAAAAGCCGGAAAAGAGCGTCTAGACTGGCCCCGATCCTCCGGAAAAAGCGCCCTTTTCCGGAGGCTCTTATTCCTACTTTTTTCCGGAGGATCTTATTCCTACTTCAAAGTTCTTTGAAGTAGGAATAAGACCCTCCGGAAAAGGGCACTTTTTCCGGAGGATCGGGGCCAGTGTAGATGCTCTTTTCCGGCTTTTTTAAAAGCCGGAAAAAAGCGGCGGACATTTTTATTTAAATGCCACGGGGGATATTTAAATCCCCCGCGGATTTCCCTACGACGACTGGTGAAATTTACATGCCCCTTCCGGAAAAGGGGCCAGTGTAGACGTAGCCCTCTAGTCTGGCACCCTCGGTTCCAAACGAGAGAATTTTCTGGGCCACAGGAGGTCGATATGGCCTAGGAGCATTATCAAGACTTCCACAGCTTCCTGGGCTGTTAGTGGGCATTTGGGGCTAAATTAGAGCTAAACAACAGCACAGAACATGAGCGCTAGGACTGGCAGCTGTCAACAAACTTTATGGGGCCACTGGAAACTTGTCCACACCCATGAAAAGTGGACATCCAGCTCACTGAAATCTTTCTGGACAACAGATGTTTCCGGACTAGAGAGTTCTGTACTAGAGAGGTTCCATTGTAGTGCTTTTCCTCTGCCAATATTTCAGTGCTTGGCATGATACAGAGATGTTAATTTTTAATCAATACAACTTCTGTAAAGAACATAACCTTAATTCTAAGTTAAAGAGTCTATCACAGGTATTTTTAGGACAAGTCACAGCAACCTGTCCCTGACCACTGCTGCTCCAGCTGCAGAGGGATGGCTGATAGCTGTGCCAGTCCTACCCCAAGAGCAAAGAGAGAAGTCATAGACCCCTGGCATTGGGACAGAATCACACCCTTACTTACAATATGCCTATTATTGCTCTGTGCAAAAGTTCGATTAATCTCTTTGTCATCAATTAATTGATAGTATGTGCTTAACTTTAAGCATGTGCTTAAGTCCCAGGATAGTTGAGCACATGCTTTAAGTGCTTTCTTGAACTGGGGTCCCAATCAGCTTTCCTCAAATACATACACTTGTTCCATCATGATGCCTTAAACCTAGTAAGTTTAGCCACTTAGCTCTGGGGGAGGAAAAATCCCCCATCTGAGATCTCACACACACAATTAAAGGCTGGGAAAAGATTGGTAAGCTGTGTGCTTGGGATGCCACCCATCAGAAATTCAGGTGCCACCCAGTTGATTAGCAGAGAGCCCACAGCTGCCCACAGGGGACAGCATGCGTTTCTATGGTGCACATATGCACATTCCTCAGTGCACATAACAAAATTTAACATGCCCTAAGGGTGGAAAAACATAGAGGGAACCTTGCCTGTCAATCCTGCTTGTGCTGAGTTTTCACCATATTACTGTCAGGCAAGAATGAGTCTTATTTACAGGCTTCTTTCCTGTGGTAATCCTCAGTATGGAAAGCCGGCATGCAATGCCCTGGAAGCTTTTGACATGGCCACAATAGAGCGCCACCAGATATTTTGAAAAAGCAAAATCTATCCCATTCCCCTCCACTCCCCACCGTCTCTAGTGTCACCCGTGAGTAGAAAGGGAAGAGAATAGTTGTCAGGTAATATCAACATCAGATGCCACAGGCAGTCACCCGTTTTTCTTTCAGCTGCTTACCAGTGTGGCTCCTTTTATGTACCATAAGCACATTGGGCCCAATGCAAACCATGCCACAGACGTCACATTTCAGTTTACCATTCGGAAGCCGGATTCCTCCCTCGCCTGACAGCTCCTGGATCTTTCTGCTGTCCGCCATCTCGTGGTTCTCAGTGAGGGGTTCTTCCAAGCTGCTTCCTTCATCATGACCCCTGATCTCATCTTCGCAGTTCAGGGGTTTCCTGTCAGACTCCTCATCGCTTTGCATTTCTAGCTTTACTGAATTTGCTGAAAATATTCAAAAACAAAAACAAAATCAGTCTTTTCCTCATTCCAATTAACTAACACTGTAACCATTGAGCATTATTATGATTTGATAGCAGCAGTGTCTAGAAGCCCCTAAGACGTGACCAGTGCCTGACTGTATATTCTCAGGGGGCAGGGTATTGTCTTTCTATGCACGTACAGCACCTCACACAATCTATTCTAGAAACAGACAAAAAAAGAGAAGAGAAAGGAAGCATGTTTATTCCCATTTTGCAGATAGGAAACGAGGGCACAGAGAAATTAAGTGGCTTGCCCAAGGTGACCCAGAGATTCTGTGAAAGAACAAGGAACTGACTCCACATTTTCCAGCGTCTTATCACAAAAATCTTTCTTCCTTTCACGGAACCACTGAATGCAAGGGGCGTGCCACTGCGAATGAGCAGTTAACATTATTCATCCTCCTTTACAGCTTGTTCTAATGTAACCACTATTGGGTGGATTTGAACCGGGGACCTCTAGAGTTTAGTGCAAGAGCTGCTACAACTTGAGCTATAAAACCAGCGGACTCTCAGCTTATGCTGTAGAGCTCCCTTGTTCTTCTCGGTCACTGTAAATAGTCTAAATGCCACTAAATGGGACAGTGAACCACACTAGGTGTGTGGGTTACACTAGCACTTGCAAACAAACTATGTACAGCAGTCTTCTAGATAGAGAAAAAGCTACATTGGCAGTCCAGTAAAACGAGCTCTCCTTACAGATAAACATGTTCAAAATAAATTAGTTTAATGAAGCAGAGCACACATGGTGCAACAATAATCCCCATATCATAGTTCTTGCACAGACCTGTTTCAGGACAGTGGGAAGACCTACAATAAGCTGTTGCTTTTCCGCTTGCAAGGCAAGTGGGCCTTGAATGAAAACTACTCTACCACTTGTACACGAACTGCAAACCAAAACACAAGTGGGATAGGGGCATCCCATGGTCTGTGATGTTTGTCTGCTTACGCTGTGGAACCCAATACACAGCCTGGGAGTCTTTCATTCACCTCAGCCAGGCTGTGTTTCAGACCACTAAGGTGGAATCCAAATTCCACTGAAGGCAATGAGAACTGGGGTGGCAGTGAGGAAATCAAGCACTGTTTTGAGGTCTCTCATGAATTTGGGTTCTTCACGTTAGGCACCACATTTGAAAATATTGCACCCTTTGCGAAAGCTGTGGTAATGAATGCCGCAGAGTTTCTCTGTCTATTCACAGAACAGACATAGGTCTGTCAGAACCTGAATGCTCAAAGAACTCTAGGTAGCTCAAAAGCTCATCTCTTACCAACAGAATACATCTGGTCTCTCTCAGATAGTGGCTGTCCCATAGCCTATCTAGGGTACATTTCAGCCACTACAGACTGAGGTTAGAGTAGAACCGAAGAGTAAAAGCTTCCTCCATTTTCTCTTACCAGCACCCTGAGCTATCAAAAAATGTAAGAATGGCCATACTGGGTCAGACCGAAGGCCCAACTACCCGGGTGTCCTGTCTGCCGATAGTGGCCAACACTAGATGCCCCAGAGGGAATGAACAGAAACAGGGAATCAAGTGATCCCTCTTCCATCACTCATTCTCCTTCTCAGTCATGGGTGTGTGTGTGTGTGTGTGTGTGTGTGTGTGTGTGTGTGTGTGTGTGTGTGTGTGTGTGTGTGTGTGTGTGTGGGTGTGTCCGTCCGTCCCAACTGATTGTTCTGTGGGTCAGCAGCCCCCAACCCAAAAAAGTTCCACACGCCTGTTAAGGCAAGGCAGTGCAGTATCCCCATTTTAGAGATGAAGAAACTAAGGTGCAGAGACATTAGCTGACTTGCTCCACATCCCACAGGATGGTTTCAGTTCACTGCATATTCCTTGCTTCGGGAATTAAAGGGCTAAGGCTCCAGTCCCATTTCATGACAGGAAGTCTGTGGCAAAGTGAGGAGTGGGACGTGCTCTCCTGACCCCAAATGCTCCGTCTCAGCCACAAAGTTACCCTTTATCCCTGTCCAGTAGGAACAACATGCAACATCGTCAAAATGCACTTTGCACCAAGTGAAAGGGTGTGTGCAGATGTGAGCAACGGAGCATGTGCACATGCAAGGGGAGTATCCATTCGTATCCAGGGTGTATTTTTATGTAAGTGCCTCTCTGTCCTATTTATTGCATCTGGAACAATAAAAGTTCATTGGTGCTGACCCTTCAGGATTCGCATTTAAGTCCACTGGCATGCTTGTTGCTCCGCACCTTTGAAAATGAGATCATAAGGGCTTGGAAGATTGTTGTCAGCGTCTCATTTTATCTTACTCTAGTGCTTCCTTCTGCTGAACGCTGGCTCGCATCCAGCAGGATAAACAGCAAAACAAAACAGAGCAAGTGGCTTACTTCAAAACAACCTTCCAGACACACAACCCTCAGAATGCAGCTTGTTCGAGCCCTCCAATGTCTGTCCAGGGGCTAATGTCGTCTCGTCACTGAAAACCACTCTGGCCGTACTGCAAACATGTGCAGACTGTTGAAAAAAAAATTGTTTTCATCCCCATTGAGTGTCCCTGCTGGTCTGAGAAACCTGCCATGCCGGTTGCTCTGTGAAGGTTCCCTCTACATCTGGGGCTAGGGAGAGTTGCAGGTCTCCAAGGAAGGGAATGCTGCTACTATGGGGAATCTTGGGCTCTTCACAAGGACTTTGCTAATCAGGTCAGCCCTGCTGCCTTATTCACGTGTCTGCATATATCAAACCGGCATAATATCATAACCCGACCCCACTCCAAGGAAAGGGGATACATTCTATTTTGTTCAGCCCAAAGACAAAAGCTATTTATACAATCTTCTCTTGGATGTCACCTGATTGCCACAAATTTAACACAAGAGAATTATGTTAGGGAAAAGGACATAAAAAGTGCTATCCTGTACTGTACCGCACTTGCAGGTAAACTTCACCACAAGCCTTGCTTTCCTTCTTTACACCCTTCCTGAAGGCAGTGGTCATTCTTGCATTTGACTAGGCAATAAATAAATATGTATGTATACAAAGTTGAAACTTTTCAACACCTCTTTGGAAAAAAAAATCACAAACAAAAGAGCAAGCAAGTCCAAAATGTCAAACATAACCCAGACAGACCATCTGGGGAGAGTAACATTTTTTTGCTGCACCAATGTCTGTTGGTAAAAGAAAATATTTTAAGGCTAGACAGAGCTCTTCTCCACATCTGAAGAAGAGTTCTCTGTAAGTTCATCTCCTAATGGTGAAAAAGATGTTACTCACCCAACTTATTGCTTTAATGTACTGGAGCCAATACAGCTAAAACCACCCTCCAAAAAAAAAAAAAAAAATCCAGATTTTTTTTTTCCCAGCAACAGCAAACAGGAAGCCAGAAGATTTTCCCACTTTTATGCAAGTTTCATTTTAATCACCACTCCCTTTATTGTATGATTCAACACGTCCTGATACAAACAATCACCCACCATAAAGTGGATACCCAGAAACCTGGAGCTAACCACATTCAATCGCTTTTCTTTCTTTTCCTTCTGAGTATCACTAATTCAACTGACTCTAGCTTACACTTTAAGAGTAATTATTTTCTACATGGCCTCTCTAGATAATGCAATCTTGTCTCATGTGCTAATTAATCATCAATGCCATATTAAGTTGGGTTTTGTTAAGTCCTTAGTGCCAAAATATTGTCTTTACCCATATAAGTGTAACCATTGCCAGCAAAATATTAGATGTTATGCTCCTACATTAATGAGTTTTCTAGCTTGTATATTACAAGATGATTTTGCTGTGCATTCTATCCTCTATTATGGATGTTATCTCCCCCCAAAAAATTAGATTTAGAAAATCCCTAGAGTCTCATTAAAAATTTTGGTCCCCAGCTAGAGCTACAAGGTACAGAACTGAAAAGTAAAGGTCATTATTTAAAAAAAAAAACACAACAAAAAACAAGGAGGGACTAATGCATAGTGGTACCCCACTCCATGACACAGGGAAGGAAAAAAACCTCCTACTGCTGAAGTTTCATGGGATAGACACAGCATACCACACAAAACTCACACAAAAAAAAAGTTCCATGAATGCTGACAAAAAACATTCTTCACTCAGCATGGAGAGTAGAGCAGATGGCGAATTAGCTCACCCAGTGCTTGTTCTAAAAATCCTTGTCCAGAATATAACGTGATGCCATATTCAATGTCCAGTGGACTACGTTACCCAGAAATTGCCCACCTTATCTAACAATTTCAACAACATGAGGAAATTAAATAGACATTCGTAAAAGCAGCTACTTAAGGAAGGAAGACTTCAAGCACTAACTAGGGCGGGATATATGATAGGTAGGCACAGTGTAAGCTGTTCCATTAAGTCCTGTTGATCTATAACAACTGGTCTGCTCCAGTCCTGATCTTCCACTAGATACAATTCATGTGTAATGGTTTGGCACTGATCATCATGGAACGATCAAACTCCTTCCACATCTGAACCTGGGCTTATGGACTGAACGACATTAAAACAGAGCCTCCTGTCCATCCAAGTGAGAGATGCTACACACGGGGGAGGGTGGGGAGGTACATTTAATTGTAGAAACTTGGGATGCAGAATGGCAAACAGTTTATGACACTAAAAGACAAAACCAGCTTTGTGAATTGCATTAAATTTAGGAGAATGTGGGGTGGGGGTGGGGAGAGAGAACAAGTTTCAGAATGAACCAATGTATAGCTGGGATTAATTTTTCTCCAATGTGCATTACTCTACACTTATCAATATGAAATTGTCTGCCATTTTGGTGCCCAGGCAGCTTTGGCCTGAACTATCTTGAATAAATTTGTATTATCTTCAAATTTTGCCACCTCACTGTTCAACCGTTCTTGCAAGTCATTTATGAATTCATCGCACACTGGAGATTCCTTCAGGGACCCCCATTACTCACCCCTCTGCTGCGGAAATAGGTCTATTTATTCCTCCCTTTATTTCAACTCTTAATCAGCTACTGATGCATGGGAGAACCTTTCC